ATAATAGAAATACAAACAAACATTTAATGATATAAATAATGGCAATTAAATATAATAATAATACAAACAAATATGCAAACAAATCACCGACATATTACTGATTGTGAAACCTACTCGCCTATCTTAACCAAATATTTTTACAAATTAAAATTACAGTTTATTAAAATATCAAAATAATCATTAATTTTATTGCTAATGTTATAGTTTAAATAAATAAGTATACAATACAGTTTGTAAAGTACAGTTTTTATTAAATAAACTAATTATATAACTAATACAATAATTAAGGTAAATAAACAGTAATTTTTCTATCCAAACTAAACAAACTTTTCAAAATAAACTACTAACTTATAAACGGTGTTAACACATAAAAATATTCCTATATTACGTATAAATATTTACATCAAATTTTAATTAATATTGTATGTAATTATTAATTAGTTTCCTGTACATTAATTATTTTCACATAATTACATTTTGCCATAATATAAAATGGCAAACAAAACAAAACTGTTTAACAGTATCATACAAATTGCCACAATTTGTATTACACTGATTGTATCGGTAACTGCTGGCCAAAATCAAACTAGCAAGGTAATAAATGAATGCCAATGCTTGGGCAAAGTGTGCCATAACTTAGTAACCAAGAGATACTGTGCGCTAATGGAGGGCAAGTATTTAGGACCTAATCGTATAGTAGATGGTGGCCACCGATGCAACTGCTGCCCCGTTTGTTTGATTTATGCGGGTAATTATTTTTGTACCATAATCTCTCTCTCTCTCCCCCTCTCTCTCTCTCTCTCTCTCTCTCTCTCACTCACTCACTCACTCACTCATTCACTAATACAACATCATTACAGGGCTGTACGAGAGCTGTGAGCAGTCAGTGCCCGGCTTCAAAGTGCGGTGCAGTAAAGACCTATTCTGTTCGCACCGTTCGGGAGCCGTATGCCTGGACTCGCACCACAAGAAACTACTCCACGCGACAAACATTGGCCACAAATCACGGCCACGAGCGCGACAACACCGGCACTACGGTCTCGTTGAACTTCTGCCCACATCGACCGCCGACCACTACTACCCCCGGCAGGTGGGAGTGGTAATGCCAGAGCTCGTACGCCGGCGCCGGTCACCGCTCAATTTGAACCTGGGCAGTCTGGGCGAGTTGTTAGTGCCGCCCAAAGCCGGCGCAAACCGGACACACTTGATCACTCTGGGCGCCAATGCCAAGCAGCCAATCACGATGAGGCCTAAGCTGCGCAAACAGGAGATGACCGTAAAGGTCAGGCGCCCGATACAGGAGACTAAGCTTAGGGTTAGGAATCCGACCAAAACGCCGTTGTTTAAGGGCCGGCCTAGAGGTCAGCGCCGAGTGGTGTCCACCAGTACTGTCATTAAGCAGCACATCTTTGATGATGAATGAATGAGATCGATGTCGAGACAAAGTTCCATGTATAATGATGATGGTGTTTTGGTTTTTTATTAAAATTATTTTGTTTTTAAATAAATGTCCTTGTTTATTGATATTTAGTTGTAATAAATAATTATTTGTTTAGATGAATATTTGTGATTGTTTGGATTATTATTTTGATTATCATTTTGCAATTATTGGTTAAATGATCTTAATTATTCAAAGTAGAGTACAAAGTAAAATACATGGTTTTTAATTATTTTAAATATTACTGTTTTATACTGAAACTAATGGTGTGTTTTGAGAGACTGAGTAGTGATAGAAAATTGGGTGTAATTATCGGCTTAATAGGTGTTATGACTTTACCTGTGTTTGCAATTTCCACTAAATAAAATATAATTAAACTAGTACAGGTAATTATAATTTAAATATTACACCATCATAATAATTAAAATTTAGCTATTTAGTTATAATGATAATTGTATTTGTCTGAAACTTTTATATATTATCGTTGTAATTTTTTAAAGTACTAATTTAATGGTAATTTTAATGGTTATTTATAAATTATAAATACACATGATAAAAAATTATAAGTATTATGAGTCTAATTGTCGGTAATTATTAAGATAAGATCATTATTGAGTAATAAAAAATTTTAATTTTAAATAAAATATGTCAAAATTTATTTTTATTTAAAATGTACATTTCATTTGACTTTTAAAATTACTTTTGATCATAGTAACTTAGTTATGAAACAATATAAAATTAACTACTATTTTGTAAAACATACTAATAGACGACTCATCGACATTGTACATATTGCATGTGAACATGTTTAAAAATAAAATTAATCCGAGTAACCATGTATTAAATAACCATGCGCTAATATCAAGCATTTTAATAGATAACTATTTTAAGCCTTTAAAAAGACGGGCGGAAAACAGGGAAAAAAATATTGATAAACTAATAAAATATGTATTTATTATAAATTACATTATGCTAATTATAAAACACATGATAACTCAATTCGTTGAGCTAAGCTATGAAACGCGTATACTATTATTTGATTTGACCGTATCGTTTGGCAGGATTAGCGCAATTCAAACAATTATTACCGAGTTGATATTTATAATGGGCTTAACCCTGTTTGTTTTAATTAATTGTGCGCCACCTGATCATTTGGCCATTTTACTACAACTTTGGCATCAGCTAGGTCAATTCGATAATGGTAGCTCTTACCTGGACATTTATGAGCGAGATGTAATTTATAAATTTAAAAGTAATTTACGCTCTTTATCAATTATATTGAATGTTACCTTTTCATCACTAGGTAAGTAATTTTTAATATTATTTTTTTAAAAACAATTATTAATTATATTTAAATTTTACTTAATAATAATTGTAATATAAAATAATTATAGTTATAACTATATCATTACTGATGATTTTATGGATGATTAATAACTATACGTATAACTGGACAATAATTATTGCAGTAATAATGCAGCTAGCCACATCGTGTGCGTTAATTAAAACATATTTTAATACCATTTTAACGTGTTTCATATTTAATTTAATCGCGTATTATATAATGTCATTAATTACAAATCTGAATAGCAAATTGATAAAATTATCAAAGTTTAAATATGGTAAAATATTTTATCGCATCAGTACTGTTGTTAGATATATGCAAAAACACGACGATATATGCATTACGTTAAACAAGTTTAATAAATATTTCAGCCGATTGTATTTGGCCATGCTAATTATAGGAATACCAACTAGCCTCATTATTTTGCATCACCTATTGTCTAATATAATTTTAAGCCACGTAGTTAAAATAAACTACACAATTATATTGATTTGTGCCCACGCAGGCCTGTTTGGATCGCAATTACTCTATACAATAATATCTATGCGTTTGCATAAAATGTTTAAAATTTTGTCACTTTTTCAATGGCGTCTGAATGGATGGTTAGTTCGGTTGAGATTCAAACTGAAACTAATGGTGTGTTTCGAGAGACTGAGTAGTGATCGCAAATTGGGTGTAATTATCGGCTCAATAGGTGTTATGACTTTACCTGTGTTTGCGAAGGTATGCTAATTACAAATCAAAATGCTAATTGTTGTCATATGTACTAATTTTAATGAATTATTTTTACATTAATAGTTTGTTATCATCTATGTGCGCTACTTCATGTTGGTTCATAAATTAGCGTTAAAGTTATCATAATTTACTTAAGCATTTACATTTATTATTAATATATTATTATTTTTATTATTAATAAAATACTCAATTATATAATTAAAAATCAGTCAAAAAACATGTAAATAGTATTTTGTTTTCAACCCTTGTTTAATGTTTCAGATGATTATTTAGCAAATTCTCCAACAAATCAAACCTATGGGTCATTTCTCGGTTTGCGGCCTCAATGTTGGCCATCCTGTCCATCAAAGTGGTGACAGTACTCGCGTGGCGTACCTTCCGGTCCTTCACCTCCGACCTTAACGAATTAATTGTGGTCAACGTTACCACGTTTTGGCTACGATTGCGTTCGCATAGGTCACGCATATTAACCTTAAGGCGCGTTGCACTAAACACACGTACGGCGCGAAACAGACGTAAGCGCCGCACGAATCGCACGACATTACGCTCCATCCGGTCCGCTATCACCCGATCGCCGGCCGTAAACCACGAAACCGTTGGCTGAATGGTTGGCGGGTGAACGGAATAGTGTCTGGGTTAAATTAATAATGTTATATCTAGTTGATTATAATTTACATTATAAGTCACCGGTACCTCCAGTAAGCCTGTATAAGCTGAACCGCTGGCACCAATTGAGCCCTAGTTCGATAATCTATCTCGTTTTGACGGATTTTAATGGCCAAACCCGTGCCGATAATATCCGCCGGTATTGCAAATAGCCATACGCCAAATGTTATGACCAACGAGGCGACAATTTTGCCCGGTAATGTTATCTAGAATTATCAAATTAATTTATATAAATATAGTTTAATTGAATTTGGATGGCATTGTGTTGTACTACTTACCGGTGCATAATTGCCAAGCGTATACATGGCTTCTAACTGTATGATTTTTATAATTAATTATCGAATTAAACTGATATATTAGTTAACAAAATAGGGGATATGGTAGGGGGTTATAACAGTGTACAACAGGGTAATTACATACCGCCCAGTACATACTCTGGCCAATTGTGGCAAAGTCTGGATTGTCTGGACTCTCGGTCACAAATATAAGATAAGCCGATAAGACAAATACAATACAACAAATGTAACAAATAATGACCAACTCTTTGCCCTGCGATTTAATGACAGACCAAAATAGGTTAAATGGCCGGAAGGGTCGCTGACCACTGGCGACACCATATAAGCCACGTCTTTGGGCTGATACTATACGTATGACTTGGAAAAAACGGTGAATACCGCGCAGGGCTGCGGCCGCGTACACAACGTGCGCGTTTTGCGCCGATCGCGGTGTAAACAATACGCCCACCGATACGGCTAACACCGCGCAGTCCATTATAGTCTGCCACCAGAGTAGGTACAAGACCCGACCCCGAAAGCCCCGGTATTGCCGCCGGTAACCGTTGGCCCATAATCTGTATTAATTTGTAAATTAACATTAATATTTAGCATTGTATTAGCGCTTGTATTGATGTACTGTAAAAATTGCCTAATTTAAATAATATACATTTGCACATATAACATTCTGTATACATTTTTTACACTATTCACTTCATATAAACTGATCCCGATACATTATTTAAAATTTTTGATTCACTAATAACTCCAATCTTTGCATGTTTGATGCGAACCGATCTTGTTGCTTTATAATGTGCTGTATTATCTATATCTTTATAAATAGATGACTTTATACCTGATTAAAAACTCTATACCAAACCAGACGACAATCACCCACTCTATGGCCGCCATAATTGGCCAACAGGTGGTCTCAAATCGGGGTACAGTGACCAACACTGTTAGCACCAAACACAACAACACCAATACAAACACCAATAAGTGGTATACATAGGACAGGGCACCGGTGGGCGCGTACAACAGCTCATAGACCTGACGTTGAATACGGCTGTATACTGTCGGGGTTGACGCCCGGTGTTGTGAGGGTATAGCCGTGCCATATACTGATTTGATCATGGTACTAAATGATTGGTCAATAATAGACTTGATAGCCATTTTATTTTCAGCCCGTTTTAGTAAAAGTTTAGCCTTCAAAGACCACGATTGACCCTTTTGGCCAATTACACCTTGTTCAAATAGGCATCTATGGTTATTTGTGTCAATAACTGCATTTATGTTTATAATTACATACAGTATTATACAAACATTTTAATTAAACATGATAAATACGAAACATTGAATGTTACCACAATTCAAATTATATCTGGTATTTATTGTGATTTATTGTGAAATTTTTAAATAATTAAAATATAGTTTTATTGATAATAAATTATTGGCTAATGAATATTAAGTAGCCTGTTAGAATAATAAAAATGGTGTTATTATTTAGGTCAATATTTGTAGACTAAATCGATACATCTTAAAACTTGAATAAAAATTTATAGTAGCATTACTTTGCCTATGTAAAATGTGATTTGTTATTTCATTGTACTAAATATCCTTGTACAATTTCTAGAAAATATGCTTTTTCAACATAAGTTGTACAATAAAATAAACATAACAAGTGATTAGGCAAAATATTATTTGATAAAACACCAAGTAATGTAAATGTAATTAGGTGTATTTGCGAATTTTTTGAACAACATAATAATTAAAAAGTTGCTAATATAACTTTAATAATTTAAATATATTATATTGCTAAATCCGCTTAATTAATTTGTTTAATATTTAAATATTAAAATTTTACCAACATGCTCCTAATTAAAATTTACTTGATAAACTTAAATAATAATACTGTTTAATTAACGCATTACAAATAACAAAGTAATCATAATAATTTTAATTTTCAAATTAGAGTTGCATTTTAATATTATTTATAAACATAAATATTCAAATTATTTACATAAGAATAAAATCATTAATTATTATGGTTTTAAGAGTTATTTATTAAAAGTAATTTAACAATAATTTAATCGCACACAGAATATTCTTAATCCTACTCTTTATTAACTCTTAACTGATTGCTCAGCAAATTCTGCAACAAATCAAATTGTTTGTCAAACTTGTCGGCCATTTCCCGATTCGCGGCCTCAATGCCGGCCAACCTATCCATCAAATCACTGGCCAAACGCTGGTGCCGTACCTCCCGGTCCTCCAACTCCGACCACAACGCATTCAATTTGGCCAAAGTTAGCACGTGTTGAGCGCGTGTGCGCTCGTATAGGTCACGGATGTCAACCGTACGGCGCGTTGCGCTAAACACACGTATGGCGTGTAACAGACGTAAGAGCCGCACGAATCGCGTGACATTACGCTCCGTCCGGCTCGCTATTACCTGATCGCCGGCCGTAACCCAAGTGGCCGTGGATTTAGTGGTCGGATGGGCGGCATAGTGTCTAATTAAATTAATTTTGATTAATAATATTGGTTATAATGTGTATTGCAATAACTTTATTTTGAATAAAATCTGTATAAATCTATAAAAATACTACTGTCGGGCCTGGGAAGGCGGTTGGGGGCCGCCAGCGGTCCGTATGCGTTCGGCCGCTTCCAGAAGCTCATGTCCGGCCACCAAGCGCTCAATCTCGTGAGCAATTTGGGCACAAAGTCCATTGAGGGCGTCTTGAGGCACGCCCGTGATCACCCCAACCAACGGGCCGTACGGCACGTCCAGCGTCAGGAGACGCACATCGTCGTGCTCGGCCAATAACAAACGCAGCATCGCCACTCTCACGGCCGGGTCCGCCGCTTGGGCGGGGCTCAGCTCGCGATACAGTGGGTACGGCCGGCGAGCGCGGGATACATTGGTCGCAAACCAATGGTGGTCGCCCCAGGCCTCCAGCCGTCGGGGCGTAAGCTTCAGCGCCAACATCTGGCCGATGCGAGTGCCGGCATCTCGTGGGACGCGTTGCGGCCGATCAACGATCGAAGTAAACGCCTGGCGGTACTGCTGGTCGGTCACAACCGGCAGCTGCTGGACGTCGGCGCGAACGGGCGCATCGGCGGCGGCCGCTTGTTGGCCGACCCCTGTCGACCGGCCATCTCTACCAACCGGTGTCTGTCTCCGTTGTTGGCCAACCGCTTGCTGTTGACGTCCGCGGGCAGCGCTGCGTTGGGCGCCGGTCGCAGGCGCGCTGCAACTGCGGCCCTGACGTTGCCGACCGCCGGCTCTCCCATTCCTACGGCGGCGCCGCCGCCGGCGGCCGCCCGATGCTGATCGTCGCTGACGAGCCATTCTTTTATGGTATGACAGGTGTTATGATGTTTGCCGTATAAAAACTGTCTATTGATTTTTAAAAAAAAATTTTAAAAGTATTATTTATTTTTTAAAATTTTTATTTTTAAATGTACGCCATTTCTGTACGATATACACGGAAAATGTCATAAAAGAGAGTGACCAACACACCAGGAATACCGACGTGATTATGAGCAGGGGTTTGGCCACCCGGCGCTCCCTGTCCTCTTTGAACTTTGTGCGCCGCCTCAGTAGCGATAGATTACGTACGGTACATATCTGGCCAACGCAAGTGACACTCGCCCGGTGCTGGTGTTTGTGGTTGTGGCCCGGGTTAGAGCCGCCGCAGGTGGACGTATAGCTGCCGTCCTCCACGGCTACCAGTGGTGGGCCGGTGACGATTGCCAGTGCCGTCAACACCAGTGTTATACCAGATGTCATGTCCCGGTCTATGCCGTTACCGTTAGCAGCATCGGTACCGCCACCGCCAGTGGCCGTCAGTTTCATGTCGTGCGACCGCTTATTGCGAGTGCTTTTCCGTGCGATCTATGAATTGGGTGGCGGGGGTTGGGATTGGTATAAAAATTATGGTTAGTTTTATTATTTTATTTTGTAAATATATTGTTATAATGATTTTTTAAATGTAAAGATTATTTAAAATTATTTTTATTTAAAATTATTTATATTAAAAATTATTTTATCAAGTTCTCATATTATTGTTGCATTGTTTTACTTTTAGATGAGACTTGTATTATTTTACCCTGTCTCATTATTTGTAAATCGGTCTGTCTTAAGTATAAATTTGAAAAAAATGTTTATAATTAAATTAAATAAAACAAATTTAGTATATTTTATATAATAAGTTTGTAGGTTTTTACGCTTAGAACTCATTTCTATATTGGTCGTATAATATGTTGCAATTGGTTAAGGTCTATGTCATTAAAGTAAATTAGAATTGGTTAATACTATTAATAATTTAAATGTGGTTATTAACATGAATTAATGGATCCAGTGGGAAATTATTATAATGATACTGTACAAGCAAATGTTATTATAATTGGAAATTTATAAAAACTATATAACTTAATTTGTTGCTTTATTTTTATAATGTATATGTATTAAATAAGTATACATAAATAAAAAATATGATATACATGGTATAATTAAATTTCCAGCTTAACAAAGATGGTAAGTTTGTCATAAAATTATTATAATTCTAAGAGTAAAAACATCAAGATTAAAATCCCAACTAAAATAAATAAAATCTAATATCAATCACATAATATAAATAAGTTTTTTATTCGTAATGTTTGTATTAAGAATGTAATTAAAAAATAATTCTGAGAAAATACGAGTTTTATTAAATAAACATTTAATACACTTAAACATTGGGAATTATGTATTGAAAAATAAATGTATTAAATGTTTATTTAATAAAACTTGCTCGTTTGTTGTATTATATATTTTAGTTAAAACAGAAATATACAGAATATATACAGGGTGTATATTATATTTAGTACTATTGCATGTTATAAAACTTTTAATTTTAATTTATATGAAAATTTAATAAGTCTGAAAATTCAACACATTTTATATTAATAGAGTATTAAATGAACTTTATTTTCCTGCCATTGAAAGTTATTGTTGTATTCACTAAGAAGCTTAATTAAACAAAAATTTAGCTTTTTAAGACACCATATTTTCAATTTTAAAATTATTGTAGATCAGGCATTTGTAATGCAAATTTAATAAACTCTGGTGTATTCAAACATGAATTAAGTATACTTTATACGTGTATAATCACCAATTTGTTTTTTTTAAATATTCTTTCAAAATTAACCATATTTTCGAAATTATAGTAGTTTTTATGGTATAAGTTGCATTGACTTAATGCTATAAAATAGTACTAAGTATCATATACACCCTGTACAGTATAGTAAATTAGATATACAGTATATTTTATTATATTATTACAGAATTTTTGTTTAATTTATTAATTCCGTGTATTTTCTATTTGTCTACAAATTGAGTGATTTTTTCTGGTAAAATGCAATTTATTTTATTATTAGTAGTACTAATGCTATTAAATACGGTATTTTTGCACTTTAATGCCATTTACTGTAATAATAATACATTATTTTTAATAACAATAAATTATATTATATTAGATTTGAATTTTATAAACAATTCTTGTAATACCAATTCTCTCTCTCTCTCTCTCTCTCTCTCTCTCTCNCTCTCTCTCTCTCTCTCTCTCTCTCTCTCTCTCTCTCTCTCTCTAATCAAAAACATTTAAATAATCCCGAATTCAAATATAAATCAAATGCTATTAAATACATAATCTGTGAATAAATAATTGTAAACATGTTTTTAATGTCAAAGCAGTTTGTATAGCAAAACATGCAATTTTCTAATGTATTAATAATTATAAGGATTAATATCTAATTAAATCTACATGTTTCATTTATTCTGTATGTTTTATTTACATTATTTATTGATCGTAATACTTAATCGTGGTAAACAACATTAAAAGTTTGTACTGGCAAAAATAAAATTATTTACTTATTACACCAGGGGCATCTCAATAAATTACTATTGTGCATTCCATATTTGCCCATTACTATTAATTATAAATGTTAATACATTATGCAATTTATAATTGAACATGTTTGCACACCAAGTATTTAGCCACGATCATAATAGAGATGTACAAACAGACATATCGCAAGTAAAACATTATTAAACTATATCAAGAATTTGATTTAATACGGTAAAAAAATTTAAAAATGCGAACTTACACAGTACAAATAACACAAAGCACAAACATAAAATGCCAACATCAAAATGCATACCCTATATATAAGCACATAAAACACAATAATGTTGGGCACCGGTATGTAAAACGTGATGAGCGCGCCGACCACTCTATAGACCACATCCCGATTGCCAATGCAGTGATACTCGCGATTGCGGGCCCACCAGTCCTGGTCGTGCCAACCGAG